AAAAAAAAAATAGGGATTTTGAAAAATTTGGGTCGGCGGGTAATGCAAAACGAAAAATCAACTTTGCATGGCCTTACAGAAAAATATCGATAATGCGGAAAAATGTTGCAATAAATGCCTTAGTGATGACGGTTGTATTCAATGGTCTTATGGAACTACAAATGAACCTGGTTTTAATACTGGTACTAGTATTCATAAATCGGTATGTTTTACTTACCACAAGAATCCATCTGCACCTGAAAATGTACTTGAAACTTGCAAACAACCATTAGGGACAAATGGTGATAATATTTATTACAGTGGTATTATTCGTTGTCCTGATGAGGGATGTTTTGTTAAAAAATGATTTTCATATTTAACTTAAAAATACTTTATTAGTATTAAGTAACACAAAATTAATTTTTCTAATTTGTTTTTTGTCGTTATTAAATTTTATTGTAATTAAAAATTGATAAATGCCATTGTCATTTTTTTCTCATTGTCTAGTATATTATAATGTCAATATCATTTTATAGTTTATTAGACAAATTGTAACTTTATTATATAATACGATGTTTAAATTTTTAGACAATCACGTTAAACAGATAGATAACTAAATTTATATAAATAATATAATCAGAATCCTTTTAAATAAGGGTTGGATACTCATTAAAAATTAACACGAATGATAGAAATGATTGATTTGAATAATATTATTAAAAATATGGAACTCCATGGTTAAGTTAGTTTTTATTTTTATTCCAGTATTTTGTTTAAAATACAGTGTTACTCTCTCTAAATGAGAAATCAGAACTCTTTGGTTTCAACAAAACTCTGAATGAAGAATAAAACCCCTATTCAAAATAAATGTAGAAAAATGGGTTTATGATTGGGAAAACTAACGTCCGTCTTCCGAAACCTGTCATTCCTTCTGAAATCTCTTCCGAAACTCGAAACTCCAAAACTTATAGTGTTCGAAAAAATTAGAATGCTTATCATTTCGAAAATTCGTCAAACGCTTAGGTTGGTTTTCAAAGATATGGATGTATTGAAAAGCTTTATCGATTTTTTGGAATCTTGAGTTACATTTAAACCAGTTGACGAATTCTTGATCATATATCCAACTTTTTTAATATTAGTACCTATTCGTGTGATATGTCTATTATAAAAGTCTATTTCATATCCGGAGCATTTTTTATATTTCTTACCAAGATTTATTTTGTTGACAAAAACAGCCCTTCTCATAAACTTTCGCACAAACTAAACACACCAAACATGCCGAACAAGTATTTAAACGAAAGTTTAATAATGTTAAATGTGTCAACATTACGCAGGAATGGGGAATCCTTCCATTAAGAGTAAAATAAAATAAAATGGAATTATTATAGCCAATCAAATCTCAAATTTTCAAAAATCGAATTTTGATTGGTAAACAAATCATTTTAGTCATGTTGGAACAAAATAAATTTATTTGGAAATATTCTGTGTCCCTGAAAACAAGTACGTATGTAATATAAACATATTTATCCAAAATCAATAATTTAAAACCGGATCTGTCGAAAAATCATTTAGGCAACTTTTTACCAGATGTCCCAGAATATATAAAACAATTATAATATGTATATAATTATATAATAAAGTATATGTTAGGGAAATAGTAAAAGCGCCGGGAAGTAAAACTGGCTTTGGATTATAGTTTCGGGGTTTCGCGTTTCTGTTTTTTTAAAAAAATCCGAAACTAGTTTCGGGTAGATGTCGTTTCGAGTACCAACTCTAGTTACGGTATCCAACACTACTTATTCAATGGCGCTTATGTTCATCCTTTTCAACTTCAATTCCAATAAAATATCCAGCACTATTTGTTTCAACAGCCCCCTTAACTCGTAGATTTTGGTTAATAAATAAATGGCGTGTTTATTCTTTTCTTTTCAACTTCAATTTCATTCCAGTAACTATATCCAACCTGAAATGTCCCAACAGTGTCACTCATCTCTGCAGATTTGGATAAGAAATAAATGCCTTATGTTCATCCTTTTCAACTCAATTCCATTCCAATAACAATATCTCACTATTGGTTCCAATACCGTCACTTATCTCTTTAGATTTTGGATAATAAATGAATGCCGTGTTTATTCTTTTCCCAATCCCATTCCGATAACTGTGTCTAGTATCACTAATATTTGCAGATTTGGATAAGAAATAAATGCTTTATGTTCGTCCTTTTCAACTCTAACTCCACTCAAACAATAATATCCAGCACTATATTTGTTCCAACAGCATCCTTTATTTCGGTAGATTTTGGATTATAAATGAATACCGTGTTTATCCTTATCAACTCCAATTCCATTCCAATTACTATATCCAAAATGAAATATTCCAACAACAGGGATAGTAAATGACCTGAAATGACCCAAATGATCTAAATGACAAATGACTAGTCATTGGCCATTTCAAAATCTAAATGACTTTAGAAGGTCTTTTTTTAAACATATGTTAGTTAATAGTCTAATACCTTTTAACCAATCAGAATTGGCCACAAAATCAAATTAAATTTTATAAAAATATATAATTAATAATCGTAGCTATATACGTATTAAAGTTAAAATTTTACTAATAATAATTTTGTCTCAAGTGAATTTGTTTGGGATAATGTATGCAATTTATTGTCTCGAAGAACTTGAGGCATAAATGTTAATTGACTTAGCAAAATTTTGACTTTAATATGTATATAGTAATAAAGTTTGATAACTTTTTATACGAGTAATTCAACCAATACAATTATTTTATATGCAAATAACCAAAATGACATCATGGTCATTATTTGATGACCTGGGGTCATTTAAATTTTGATCAAACGACTATGACATTTACCATCCCTGCCAACAATCCAACAACAATGTTCAGCATTATTTGTTTCAACAGCGTCCCTTATCTCTGCAGGTTTTGGATAATAAATG